TTGCATCACTTCCCAAGACCGATGTCGTTTTACCAAAAAAAAATCACTAGAAAAATAGTTTAATTTTTTTAGAGCCAGTTTATACAATTTGTCATTTTAAGTTCATTTTAGGAACCAATATGACATACTTCAGTCTAGTCCGTTACCCCCTTAAGCAAGAAAAGTGAGTCTGAAAAAAAGCTATTACAAGAAAAGTAAGTAATGTTTACTTGTGCATTTGATGTGAATGTAATTTTGGGTTAACTGAATTAAAGAGGGGTTGCTGATTAGACAAATACATCCAGCATATTTCCCAAAAGAAAAGCAAATAACATCATAGGGTTAAACAAATGTTGCAAATTTCAGGACCACAATATAATCAGATTACAATAAACATCATATTTCTCAATTTGTCAACAAAATTTAGCAAAAAATCCACCGAAAGCAAAGTCTGTACTATTTTCACTTTGACAAAACAAACATTGGATATAATCAAGCTGCATTTTATTCCATATCCAATTCACTTTCTATTCATGCAAATGAAGAAATCTATAATCTAGTCTATGAAATGAGAAGAAAAAAAAAAATCATACATAAAGTTTGCGCGAGTCAATTAGATTTCAATGAAATCAGAAATTCTGAATTTTACCTCCATAGATATATCTTTATCGGAGAAGTACTTTGCTTTCAAGTAATTGGCGAATTCAGCTTCAATGTTCTTCAATCTCTCACTTTGCTCCTTGCTATTCATGTCTCAATCACACAATGCACTGAGTTTGTAAACTTGACATAAAATCAGATAATTACTCACTTTCTTATCACGATGAGCATTAAAACAATATTGTAACAAAACCCTAATTCCTCCATATTTTAGCAAAAAAAGCATCGAAATGATGCGGAGCAATGTAAGTAACTTCACACATCGATGTAACATTACACCAAATTGATTTGAAAAAAAAAAAAAATTCTGATCTAAGGATAGATACCTGAAGAGTAGGAAGAGATCCAACAAAGCGAGCGAGAGAGAGAGTCGCGTCTTTGCCACCGAAATATAGACGGAAAATTGCATGTGGATCTTGGGGTTGGGGCTATTTATAGTCCTGTGACCATGAAATTGCTGTGTCAATGGGAAAAAAATAAAATAAAGATAAAAATTTTAAATTGATACTTATGGTTTTGATTTTGTTTTCAAAATATTTTTATTGAAAAGTATTTTGTATAAAGGGTTTTATTTTTTTTATTATTATTTTTTTTATTTTTTTTTTAATTTTAATTTTTTTATATTACGAAACATTGTTTAGTACTATTCTTTATGATTAATGTCAATTATATGAAGCCGTTAAGTTGAAGGAGTTTTAGATAAAGACAATTTCTGATGTTTTATGAAACTTCTACTAATAATCATTTGTGAAATTTCGCCTAAAGACTATTTGTAATAAAGCTCAGAGAAAATGACTAATCTAGCCGATTTCATAATGAGTTCTCATGTTTTAGCCAAAAATAGAGAAATAGCCCACAATAGCCATCAAAACATTAAGTCTTAAAAATCGTGTATCGTTCACCGGAAACCAACAAGTGGGAGCTTATATACTTAAGGGTAAAAAATTTATTCAAAATTCATTACAAGACAGTAGGCTTTTCAAAGCCTACGATTTCCTCTAAGTAAACTACGCCATGCTAAATAGTAGGTTTCAACAAACCTACAGTTTTACAAAAAGAAAAAAAAAAGATAAAACCATAGGTTTTTAACCAAAACCGTAGGTTTCTCGAAACCTACTATTTGGCATACTGTAGATTTAGAAAACCTACTATTTCGTGATGTATTTTGAAAAAAGAAATCCCTTAAGTATACAAGCCACTAACCGTAGGTTTTGTGTGAAAGAGTAGACACTTTTTAAAACCTTCAGTTTTAATGATTATTATGAGTTATTTGTTAACTTTTCGCTAAAAAATGAGAAATTATTAATTTTTTTTGGCTAGATTAGTCATTTTCTTTAAACCTTGTATTAATTATCATAAATCAAATAAGAAAAGAAAAAAAAAACTAAAACAAATAAAATGTAATATTTATACAAATAAAAAAGAAAACTTACTAATTTTAATCATCATGTAAATATATTTTATTTAATATATTTATAATTTTTGTTATCTAAGCTTCATCTAAAATATTTAAACTATAATAGCTCATTAAATATTTTCGTTTCCTATTTTTTTAATAGAACAGTTTGAAGTATAAAACCATCATTTTACTACTCTTTTTATGCTTACACGAGGTAATCAATTTATTCATACTAGTATTTATACCAAATGTTTTCATTAGTTGAGAGCCGATGAATTATTTGTACTGTATTCTGAGTGAGAGAGTTTTTATAGAGAGATCACAGGTCTTTGCGAGTTCTTGGATAGGATTCAAAAAAATTATTTATGAATTGTTGTTCTTAAACGTAAAACTCGACAAATGAAATTAATTTTTGTTTATTGAATACTTGTGTTATTATTTTGGATTTCGAATAGATTCATACACTCAGTGTTCTTGGATAGGTGGTGCTATCATGCACTTATCAGCTGACCATAAGGTAATTATTAATCAACACAATAGTATCTTTGTACATTAAAATATCTTTTTAATTCTAATCTTGAAACATTAATGAAAATCTTGGACATGGATGCAACCTGATAGATCGGATAAGTTAGAAATAATCAAAATTTTAGGAGGAATAGTGATTGCAGGAATGGGCTACGTGTTCTTGGAGTTCTTCCGACTTCAACATCAATAGGAGAGCGACAACAAAATAAATCCATTTGTAATCACAAAACCTAAAGTTACCATGAACAAAAGAGATAATGCAAATGAATTCATGATCTTAGGTAGCGATGGATTATGGGATGTCATATATAAAGATTTAGCATACCGACTTGTGCAAAGATTTCTTGATGGATGAACTTGTCAAAGAAGATCTTCACTCTTTTTCCCATGCAAAAAGCATCCATACTTCTCCTTTCTCTCACTTTTCTCTCTTAAGTAGTTAAGATATATAAGGAAGAGTTAGATATTTTTTCTCTCCTTTAACAAAAGATTGGTTTTTGTTCTTCAAGACTTAAAAGCTTAATGTTGCAAGAATGACTAGCATCCAAGTGTTGCATCTTCTTGATGGACTTTTCTATAAGAACCATAGTTTGTGCTCTTGTTATCTCCGTCAACTTCTAAAATCTCAAGATGATTCAAAATTATCAAAAGTTATTACTTCTTAATCCTTCTGTGGTTGTATTTAGTCTTTCATGTTTATGTAAAATGATCATTGTTGAAATAAAATATTTTATATTATTCAAACTTTACGATGTTTCCGTTGCCAATTTTGTTGTTTTAGAAACCGAATTTTTAAATAAAACCCAACAGTTACATTGCATAACATCAATTTTCTTTGACATTCTTCAACGAGGACTCCACTATATCTCCTTCTTATTCTTACTTCTAAAAGTTAAGAAGTGTTTCTTCTCTTCTTAAATATCTTCCTGTTCCAATCATGTATTGTTCTCATGCATTCCAATCATGTATTGGTCTCATGCATAACAACCACTTTTCCTAAAATTTCTTAATTTAACTACTTTTTATATGTTAACTTGTTGGCAAATTTAGAATGGTTTCTTAGGTTTAGATCTCATGATTTATTATTATGTTTAGATTAAGTGATTACTAACCATGTATAGATGAGAGAAAAAGAATTATTTTCGTTGTGTATAGGAAGTCGAATTTCATTGCCTCTAGTGTTGTTTTTATAAAGAAATTTCCTAAATTTATCATTTACCTTTTAGCAGTAGCTAGTTTGTATATTATTTTCTTGATTTTTTTTATCGATATTTATACGTTTAGGCATAAAGTGTGAAACTGATTATTACAACTTTAAAGTTACACTATCACATAATCAACCATAATTTTATTTCATGTTCTTTTGGAATATATATTTTTAGAAACTCAGCATTGCGCTCTTTTGGAATTTTAAAAGCTTGCCTTTGAGCACTTCTACCATCGTACCCTTGTATGGTCAAGCAAGTTGCTTTTGATTAAGGAAATCTGTTTCAAAATTCATCATTTATAAATAGGCAAGCAATTGCCAAGTATAAGAAATATATTTTTCTTTTGTGTACACAATGGCTCTAGCAAGGTTGGTTATTCCATTCAAGTTAGAAACCAAACATATTCTTATACAACCTCATAATAAAAGTCTTCATTAGATCTTCCAACCTTGAAGATATTTGGACTGAGGCCTTGAACTGTAACTTTGTTCGTGCTTGAATTGAAACATATTTGATGTTTCTAGGGCTAGCTAAGCATTGATTATGATCCCTCGTCATATCACATGATCATCACATATGGTAAAAATGTTTGGTCTACTCATTTGTATGCTTTTTCACATACTCCGTTGGGCTAATAAGTCATTTTTCCGATACAGTAGTAAGCGATATCATCTGTTTATCTTATTTGACTTTCAGAAAAGTGTAACTTAGTTATGTTTTTTAGACAAAAGGTTAAGTTCGTTGTGTTTTTTTTGAACAAACAAACATGATTAGGGTTTTTTGAACGGTTTGAAAACTTCGTTGGCCTCGTAAGTTATTTTCCCCTTTAATTAATTTTTAAGATCCGGTTATGGATTATAATATGATTTTATGGCTTTTGGTTATAAAAGTTTTCTGGACAATCATCAAATAAACCAAAATGGATAAAGAATATCCTAAAATATCCACCTTTTAATCAAATATCACTTGCAATATATGCATCAAACATCACAAAATGCCTGTCAATTACGCAAAAACCGTTTTATAAATTTGTTATTTATTTATTTTATTTTTTTTTTGGCAAAATTCGTTTTTTTGCGAGATAAGATTAATCTCTTTTACGAGTGAATACCATCATTTTGCAAATGGCCCGTAACTCCGGAAGATAACGATGTCATTTTACAAAATAAAAAGAAATTTTCCCAAGAAAAAAACCGGTTTAATCTAGTCTTTCAGCCGATTATCCCTTAGCGCACAGACACCACATAAAGGTAACCAGCTGAAAAAGATATACATGGTAGTAGCTATTAAGCAAGAAACGTGAGTCTAAAAAAATGTAAGAAAATGGAAAAGTAAAATTCAAGCATAGACTTTCTTTATTAAATCGTTCTTTTTATATTAAATAAAAAAGAAACAATACCTTAATGAATGATGTTTTAATTGCAAAACATAAAACTTGTTATGTGTGGATTTAATAAAATTATTTATAATAGTCATTCCGCCTATCCTAGTCTTCTCTTCAAAAATATTACCTGCATAATTTTTTTTTTTTTTTTTATCATTTTAATATCTAATTATATTATATGGTCGATAGATACAATTATCTTTATTGTTGTTCTAGATCCAAAACCGAAATGACCCCGTGATGTATCATAAGAGATTTGCTTTTTCTATTGACTAATCTCACTATTATGAATGTGTAGGTGATTTAGGTATAAAAAAGATGGCAGATAATCATAATCGTTTTTATTATTTAAAAAAATGTTTATTTGTCATTTGATGTGAAGGTAATTTTGGGCTAAAACTTTAAACCACATCAATGAATTAAACAGGGGTTGCTCACATAACTCCATCCTCCATAATGCCCAAAAGGAAAGCAAATAACATCATACGCTCAGACAAATGTTGCAAATTTCAGAACCACAATATAATCAGATTACAATAAACAACAAATTTCTCAATTTGTTAACAAAATTTAGCAGAAATCCACCTAAAGCAAAGTCTATTTGCTATTTTCACATTGATAAAGCTTAAAACGTGTTTAATAACATTGGAGAAAACAAACACAAACACAAACACAATCATACAAAATCATACAAAATCAGTATTTGAAATGAGAAAACAAACACAAACACAATCATACAAAATCCGCAGTCCTGAATTTTACCTCCATAGATATCTTTATCTGAGAAGTACTTTGCTTTCAAGTAATTGGCATATTGAGGTTCAATGTTCTTCAAATTCTCACTTTGCTTCTTGCTATCCATGTCACTATCACACAATACACTGTCAATTCGTAAACTTTGTATAAATCTGATAATTACTTACTTTCTCATCACCATGAGTATTCATACAAAGTTGTCACAAAACCCTAATTCTTCGAATTTTAACAAAAAAACTTCGAAATGATGGGGAACAAACTAGGGAATTGCATACAACGATGAAACACTACACCAATTTGATTTGAAAACAAAAATCGGATCTAAACTAACACATTGCAGACAACTTACGAACCAGAGTAGATATAATCGATTAAGCTATTTAACAACGGCGATACAGACCTGAAGAAAAGGAAGAGATCTAACAAAGCTAACGAGAGAGAGCCACCCAAATATCGACACAAGAAAGATGGAAATTTACATGTTGGTCTAAGGTTGTGCTATTTATAGTTTATTGATGATGAAATTGTATTCATTATTATAAAAATAAATAAATAAAACAAATAAAAAAAAGTCAAATTACAAATTTTGTCTTTTGGTTTGTTAAAAATTAGTACTTTAATTAAAAATGTTTTGGAGGAGTACCATTGGTTCAAACAAGTTATTTTGTTACTAAGATTCAAAATTTTTGAAACTTTGTATATTGAAATATTTGCTCTTGGTATTTTCATTTTTCCATATTTTCAAATTACTTTACCAATTGTTTTATTTAAAAAAAAAATTAAAAAAAAAAAAAACAAAAAGAACCACTCCACCTACTTACCCCTTATCTAACACCTTATACCATTTTCCACTCCGGGGTTGTTTGTTCACCTTTTAATTGTGAAATTAAGAAGCAACTTCGTAAAAATTTAGATATAAGGTGTTTTGCAACATCTTATTTTTTACCTCTTAAACTCAAAATACCTCTTAATTTTTCAGACTTGACATTGTTTCTGACAAAATTAAAAGGCATGCTCTTTCTCGTTTTGCCCAAAAGTGTATTGTGTCTTCTCTATTCTATTTCACGAGACAACATCTTCTTCCCTTCTAACCATCTTCGACGACCTGCAACCCTCCACCACTACTCTCACCACCGGCCAGTCACCGCAGAGCCGTTGCCTTCCATCCCCGTTAATCTTGTCAACAACAACATCAAGTAATGGTTCTCTAAAATTGACTTTTGCTAGGAATAATTTTTGAACCTATTTTTGAAATTGGTGTGCTGGATTGAAGACTACACTTGAAATCGTGATGCTCTTTTGGGTCTTAGTGGTTTTTTACTGCGATGTTCTTTTGAGTATTTATCTTTTCAGTGTGATGGATTGAAGTCTACACATGAAATCGTCCGTCCCCCCCCCCCCCCCCCCCTAATTTGTTGTTACCTTTGACACATGATTTTGAAGATTGATTCCTTTCCATCGGCAGTTAGAATTTTTATTTTCATGAAACCTGCTATGGTGTTTTCTAGTATCGACAAGTGTATATTTGGAATCAATGGTCTTGATTTTTGTTGATGGAAAGTGGTTTTGATCGTGAATCATTAGAATCAAAACACATGTTTTAAATCTTTATTGATTTATTTTTTCAAATGGGTATTTTACCAGGACACGTGCCAAAAATATTGAGCTAAAAGCAGGCCTTCTTTCAGTTCATTAAGGAAATGATGTGAAGAAATACTTCATTATCAGTGGGTTTGCTTAACAGGTTGATGTGTTTTGATGATTCATAACAGGTCGATGTGAAGATACTTCATGAAACGGAAGATTTTGCTGGCAATTAATTATTTTTTATAGGTTACAAAATGGTTGGTTTTCACATGGTGATATTAGACGAGGACGAAATTTGGCTGATCAGGCTATTGTAACAAGAAGTAGCATTATATTTCTAGTTATTAGATTATTATTGCATTGTATTTCCTATTAAAAGATTGAAAATAGAATGCTAGAATTGGTTAAAGTTTTCAAATTATGATGCCTTAATAAGAAAAAAGTTGAAAGTACAATGTTGTAATTGAATAAAATGATAAAGAAGGGTAAAATAGTCATTTTTATCATCCAACACAACAAATTCAGAGGTTCCAACCAAACAACATTTAAAAATTCAGATCTTAAAAATCCAGACCTCTTAAAAGTTCACTGCTTAAAAATTTAGATCCTACCAAACACACCCTTAATCTCTTCACATCATCGGAAATCTGGGAACACACCCAAAGCAGTCACTTTTGCATGAGATCTGGAACAACATCAGAGATTTGGAACACCCTTCAAACAGTCACCACCACTACATTTTTGCCATGTCAGCTTTGTCTTGCTTCTTCTCCGATGATGTTGACGACAACATACACATCTAAAGCAGAAAACTGAGGGTTTTCAGATCTGTACACCATCTGTTTGGAAAACTATGCTAAGGTTATGAAGAAGGCGAAGGGTTACAAATGAAACCTAAGAGTTCGATTTCGGTGAAAGAAAGAAGATTTCAGATCTGGAAACGAAGACACCAACAATGTGTTCGATTTTGGGTCTAGAAAAACGATTCTAAAAGGGTTTTCAGAACAAGAAAGCAGGCAGAGTAAGAGTTAGGGTTTCAGCAATCGTAGAAGACGAATCAAGAAGGGTGGTGTAACACCCCCGGAATAGACGGCGGAAACGTCAGGAGGCGGGTGACTTCATTGTGCAGTATCATAAAAATTTAATATAAATGAAACAGAGCAATCCAAACATCATACATTGAGATAACAAATTTACATGGTTTACATATTGTATTTGCTCTTTGAATTACACAAAAGATACATAAGCAGAAAAATTCCAAACTACAATTAAATAGTCCAACATCAGCATCCCTTGTTACCTGCTTACTGGATCCCTGAAAATACAAGTCGTTTTGAAAAGCGTCAACTAAAAAGTTGGTGACTTCATAATAATTTTTGTATAAGATCGTTACACTTGATTAGAATCGTTTTCATTGTACTTTCAGAAAATCTGATATTTTCTATGAAATTGTTTGAAGTCTTGCCTTGAAATTCATGGATATATGTATGTAGGTCATCACTTTTGTTCATCCTTATAAGGAGTGATTTTGAAAAGTAGTGTGATTTGTAAAAGCGAGCTGTGTATGAAAATAGTCCTTTTGAATAGTAATAGTCAACCATTTCAATAAAAATCCCTTATTTTCAAAAGGAAAATATGGTTGAAAATCTTGTTCCTCTTATCGAGTAAAATTGAGTGTGCGTTCTAGTTTATCGTTATTGAAATCTTAGAAAAATCATTTTCTCCAGAAAATCTTATATTTTCTGCTATAAAATATTCGAAATTCGAGTTCCAACTATGTATATGTGTAGGTTAGTTTATCGTTTTTTAAACCATTTACAAACGTTTCCCATAGGGTCCTATGCTTTTTAATATGTAAAATAGCAGTGTTTCAACTCTATACTTGTTAGGAGAAAGGGTCAACATGTCAATTGTGGATATTCTAAGCGATGAAAAAGGACATTCAACACAACAAATGCAGACCATCTCCTATCTCATGTAGACCAGTCAACACAACAAATGCGGACCGTTACCTATCTCATGTAGGACAGTCAACACGACGTGCCAAAAGTTATTTATGAGGTTTTCCTTGCATAAATTTCTAGTTAATAAAACATATTCTAGTGAGTCGTTATAACCATACTAATCATGAAGGAGGCCTGTGTTGGCGTTTCTCAAGCGTCGTCGGTTTGATAAAGACATTTGTCACCCTAGACTGGCCTGTCTAGTCGTAGCGAACAACGAAGGTGTGGGGTGTCAACCCCGTATAGATCTATACACACATTCTCGCTTTCCCTCCGTATAGATCTATACACACATTCTCGCTCTCCCTCCAGGAGACTCTGGCTATAACTCCTACTCTGGCTATAACTCCTTACAGGACTTAGACGTACACTAATATTTTCATATTTAGGTACTTTTGAGATTTGTTTGGCTAGAATATTAAAAACCTTTTGAGCAATCGTTAGAGATCCTTTATCCGTTAGATAAATAATGAAATTCGTACTTATTGATTAGAATATCATTCTCGTTCCATATCGTTGATTGTGCTTGTTAACTGGGTGCTCGTGTCCGTTCCTTTTCGTTTATTGAAAAATGAGTCATTTTAGTCAAGAGAAAAAGTGTCAAGTTATAATTTGTATAAATTTATAATTGCCAGTTATGACACGCATTTTCTGTTTATGACATATAAAACATTACTTATGTTCTTGGAGGTTTTACGACAACAGCTTATGACATGCAAATATTTATGTCATAAAGGCTCTTTTTGTATATTTTCTTGACGCAAACTTTTATATTGAATATTTATAAAATACTCCCTGATAGTTTGCAAATAGTCACAAAGTTTTCATTTTCGAAAGTTACTAGAAATAGTGTCCACTTCTCAAGGTCCCTTTTATAACTTACATCTCTAGACATGAAAACATAGATAAAGAGGTTAAGTTGGACACACCCAATAGCTGGGAGGCTCTTTGTACACAAAGTATCCTCTATTTTTGATGAAGTTGTGAAATCTTACGTTCATGAGTATAATAATAAAATAATCATTTAATAATATTTCACACACACATGTAATCATACGTGTATATATGTATGTATGTATATATATATATGCATATATATATATATATATATATATATATATATATATATATATATATATATATATATGCAATTATTCAAGTATTTAGGCTAGATTTGACTTGTAATCTCCCCCAAAAACATTAAAATATTGAAAAAGGTGGGGTATGAAGCTCACATTGAGTTAGTTGAGGAGCAGTTTGGAGTTATGGAGTGAAGATCTCAAGCTTAAACTCTTGGCTAAGATGAGAAACTTCCCAGGGAGGGATGCTTTCAATTCCAGGGAGAATTTGAGAATATTTTCCTTCCAGCAAGATCTTTGTTCTTGGCTTGAAGATGAGTTTTGAGGGAAAAATGGGAAAAGTGAGAGAGAAGGTGAAGTCTCAACTCTTTTACTGTCGGTACTTTGGAGTACAAGAGAAGGGAGGGAATCTTTGGTGCATGGGGATTTGGTGGTACATGCATGGATATTTGGTGGGTAAAGCATGGGATACTGTGATTTGCATGGGAAATGAGGATTTCATCAAATCACAAAGTCAACTTCCTTGTCCTTTTCTTGTTTTAGGATGAGGTTTTCCTAAATCCTAAACCTTTTATTTTTATGTAAATATGCTTAAAATAATTAATTTTAGCATAAAATAGAGGTTTAAGGGGTTTAGGATAGGAAAAATACGAGTTTGGTGGGATTCCTGAAGTCAAAATACCTTAAAATGATAAAATGGTCTAGAAATGGCAAAAATCCGAAGCTTAGAAGCGAAATCCGGAGTCCACTCTAAATTCCGGAGTCAAGAGGCGAAGTTCCGAAGCCAATCTCGAATTTCCGGAGTGCTCTTCTTAGATTCTGGAGTCAGGAGGCGACGTCAGCGACTTGGCCCAGAGGTGCGAAGCAAGCTGAGGATTTCGAAACGGCCTTGTGCGAGATCTTTCGAAGCCAAGAAGCTTTGAGGTGCGAAATCATCCGGGGCCGGATGTTCCGAGATTACGAGGTGGTCCGGAGGGGAACTTATGCCGGAGCGAGATTGTCCGAAGCAAGATGGGGTTCCGGAATGGGTGGTCTAGATGAGAGGCTTCTGAAGCTGAGGAGGTTCCGAGATGCAATTCCTCTTGGCCCCTTAGAAGGGATTCGAGACTAAGAAGGTTCCGGCCAAGAGGTTCAGGACCAAGAGGAGTCCGGACCAAGTGGGTCCTTTTGAGGTTTCCTCTTCCGGTTTTGAGCTGTTTTCGACTGAGGAAGGTACTTAGGGAGATTTGAGAGAGATTTGGGATACATGGAGAGATTTGGGAGAGATTTCACACACTTGGAGAGATTTGGGAGAGATTAACTATATTTGGAGAGATTTAGGAGAGATTTACTATACTTGGAGAGATTTCACATACTTAGGGAGATTTGGGAGAGATTCACCATACTTGGAGAGATTTTGCATACTTAGAGAGATTTGGGAGAGATTTCACATACTTGGGGAGATTTGGGAGAGATTTACTATACTTTGAGAGATTTGCATTCTAATACTATATGGCTCCTGAGGAACTCTCATTGAACACTTAGGTGTGTTAGAACAAGTCTCACAATAGTCCTTGCTTACTTGAGGGTGAAATATCCTAGCCAAAAAGCTAGTTGTGACATCATCCCCCCGTTAGAGGGAATTTCATCCCGAAATTCTTTCGAAAGATAGGGTCACGAACGTGGAAATAAGTGAGAGTACTTTTGAGTTAGTTGGTCTTTGCGTTCCCAAGTGAACACCGAATCACATCTAGCGTTCCCTCGAACCAACACCATCAGGAGGTGGTGTTGTTCTGTGTGCTTAACTTTTATATCCATAGTTTCGATAGACTGATATACTATTATGAAGTTCTAGCTCACTTAATCTTGTCTAGTGGGACTGGGAGGATTTTGTCAGACCGACACTTCCTAGGTTTGATACATGGAACACAGG